GGTAGGGATTTTGCAGTCGATGAATCAACAGGGTTATCTGTGTGGCTTTGGACAAATCACTTTTGGTCTCTGATTCTAAGTGGGCTTCTCTGTAAATAGGAATACTAATTGTCCCTGGCTCACAGAGCTGCGTGAGGGTTAGAATATAATCCCTACAAATCTCTCTGGGCCGCGCCTAGTGAATTATAACCTCTCAGTAAACATGTGTCACTGAGATTGCTCAGGTTGTCCCCACTGCTACACCCCACTGGGAAAGCAGGACAGTTTGAAGGACCAACTCCTTTCGAGTGAGTGGAAATCTCTGTTCTCTTCCACCACCTCCCATAATTTCCCCGGAAGTTGGCGCGTTCATTGATTAGCATTGCTGCCAAATTGAATGGTTTATTTTAATCATACAAGTATCGTGGTGGAGGAAGAGGGTGACTCACGGGTGTGTGGTCACACTGACTGTGGAGGCCCAGGAGTCAGCCTTATTCCTATTTGGGCTGCATTATGTTATGAACAGATGGGACACGTGACAAATGTGTCCCCTTGAGAGATGGCTCTTGGACAGTCAGTAGAGAATGCATCACCTTTCAGAGCAGCCTGCTTCTGTCTTTCAAATCAGAGCCTGGTAACCATAATTGTGTTTGAGAAATGGCTGTGTCTTAAGCACCTGGTTATCTGGAGATGAACTCCAAAGTACCACACGTCACCTTTCTGGTAGTGCACTTGGCAACTCTCCTGGGGGACTGTCACTGGGCCACAGAGAAGGCATGGAGCTAGCACAGGTGTTCAACCTCGGAGTTACTCCACTCTGAGTGGTGTCTTAACAGGGGTAACCTGTCAGGTGTCTGCCTTTGCATTTGTGTTTCCTTTACCTGTCGGGCAGAGGAGTCACAGTGACAGTCTGGAGGGTTTGAAGAGGCCACTCTCGTTTGTTTCTGCCAACCCTGCACCCTTGAGCTCATCTCTTGGTCCTAGGAATTCAGTCTTATAATCACTGCCTGTCTCCAGAAGGGCTCCTCCGTGCCCTCAGGTTCCAAGCCTAATCCAACATCCATGGCCTCTTCCCTTCCTAGATCTACTTTTTGCCTAAATTGATTAATTCCACGTTTGTTGAGTAATGTGCTAGTATCAGTCTGTCTGTAATGAAGCAATCTGAGAACCTCTACTGTTCTCTCTCAACCATATGAGAACTATGCCATGATAATATGTCTATGTTTTATACATCTCATAGTTAAATCTACTTTAAGAGAGGAATCTATTTTAAAGAAGCATGCATTTTAAAATAGGGAAACCTGAAAACTAAACGTTAATTGTGTCCCTAAGTATTACACTAGTGTACCGTGTCAAGAGATGCATGGGGTGGGCTTTCACTTTACCATATGTTGTTCATCAGAAATCTCTGTCCCTTTTTCTTTAAAGGCGTCAATATTCATTTGTAGTCCATGCTGATAGCTACAAATTAATGCCTAGTAGTTATCAAATAAATGTCAATGAAAAGCGGCTAGTTATCATTTTTATCCCAAGAAAGCATTTTGGAAAGGATGGGTAATTTAGATGTGAGGGCCTCCACTAGACAGAAACGGCTTTCTGAACTCTACCTTGCTATAGCTGAGGATCGTGCTGCAGATGATTTCGGAAGGAGAAGGATGAGCCCTGGTAAGTATCAGGATACTTTGAACTGAGTCCTGAACAGGAATCTGGGGTAATTTTACATACATGAGGAAGACGGATGGTGCGGTTCTCCTCTGGCAGCTCACAAGTGTTTGCCTAGATGGGAAGGGGCATTCAGGCATGATTAAAGATTCTACTGGGCGTCCCAGAAATTCTCAGTCCTGTGTCATCAACACCCTGACTCCCTGCCATGCTGTGGGATTGAGACACCTCCCCCCAGTTCCCACGAGCAGCAACTGTGTGCAATCTATGCGCTTCTGATAAGCTGTTCTATAAAACCATTTAGGGGAACCCATAGCTCCAGCCAGGGTTTATATGTCAAGGTATTAATATTTTATCACAATGGATCAGTAAGCAATAGCAGTGACTGGCAAGTGGCTGCTTCAGATAGTTTACATATAGCAGCGTTAACATTATCTTCTTTATAGGGCTCTTTCATCTTTTTCTGATGTCCCCAAAAGTAGCGTGAAAGTCGTCAGATTTTGATTATAGTGCTCTTAAAAAAAATTTGTTCTTATCAGTTTAAAAATGCTTTCTCTTGCACACGTATCGGCAACACTGGCTTGTTGACTAATGCAACTTTGCTAGTGTTGGGTCTGATGACATGCAGACCCAAAAGCTGATGGGCCACAAATGAGACCTGGCTATTAACTTGTCATCAGATCCGATCATATAAAGGTATCACTCCGATACCATGGGTACAGCTGGAAAGAGAATTCCCCAAGAAGTCCAAAGGGTAGCGGGCATAGGACCAGTAAGATAGTGTCGCCGTTTAATTGCTCAGCGAGAGAGGAAAGTGAAGTGAGTACACAGGAGTCTCAAGCGTGAATCTGAGAGGAAAAGAGTTTACCCCACATGCTCCATGGAGCTTTGGTTGGAGAAGGGGGGCTTTGCTTTTAGGTTCCCGCCCCCTGCCTTAGAACTGTGTGTTCTTCTACAAAACCAGAACCACATGCAATAGAGTTTAGATCCTGTATCAGCCTGAGCCCAGTGGTGAAGGAATCAAAGCCAGCTCTTGATTTTTAAAGAATATATGGCTTTTCTAAAACGTATGGTTTTCAGCATAGGAGCCAAATGTAGGCTGACATGAAATGAGGCCAATTGCAATTACTTTTAGATTCCACGGAGGGCAAAATGCACACCCCAGCTCTGTCACCATCTCAACTCTGCATCAAGGTAACTGCAGAATTTCGTTGCAAAAAATGCTATTTCAACAATGCATGAATGCAACAGGACATTGCTTCAGAAGGTCGCGGTGGCAGAGTAATATATTGGGTTGGGAGGAGTCGGCTTTTGCTTTCCCCAGAGGTCAGTCTGTCCTGATGCAAGAGCCCCAATACTCTAACTACTCTCAAGTTGGGGGAGGGAGGCTGAACTTGGGATGAGCTGGCTGGATTCTCTCATCACTTTTGGAGTTGATGGCAAGTCACCCGACTACTCTGGCGGTTTTGGCAGCTGTAGAGTAATATGGAGAACTCTGTGACAGATAACTAGAAATTTATGCAAAACACCATCTTCCCCTGAACTCTGCTAAGAACCAAGGCCAAGGCAATATCTGGCTTGAGTTAGATTAGCATCTCAATTCTCCTGTTTGTGTTAAGAGGTAATTTTGCTTCCCTTTCCCCCACATAGGAGGCAGAGGAGTCAGATAAACCACTTGAAATTGTTTAGATAAATGTGCCAGGTGCTAAGCAAGCTCAGGGTTATAAGGAATAATAATTCAGTGAAAGGAAATTTGGATGACACAAACTCATTTCCATTAGACTTGAGCCACAAAAATCAATTGGAGAAGAAAGAGCTGAATCCAAGGTAATAACTGGCTGTTTGGAGTAGGGATGGTAATGGAGGGGTGTTGGCCTGGTAGCAAAGTTGTTCAAATTCTGGACTCTTAGAATTTGTCCAAGATCACGAAGCAGCCTGTTATTATCAGAACCCAAGTCTCTGTCTCGCTCCCAGCCCAACCCCTCCCATGGTCACCTCAGGTGACTATGTTTGTCCATTCAGTTTTGAGACCAGCTCCAGTGTGACCACAGACCCGGACACTGAACAAAACCAACACCACAACCAACACCACCACCAACACAAACCCAAACCTGCTTTATAGCACTTTTCTCAAATTCTAACACCTTGGGACCTGGTTCTCAGAATGGCCTTGACTCCAGAAGCTGGGAAGTGCCTCTCCTGATCCAGTTAGTCCTGTAGGGGCAGCAACACAGTTAGCTCAGGTGCAGATAGAAACCTCTTTCCCCCTTGAGATCAAAGGTCCTTAACTCTTTCCTAATAGCAACCTCATCTTCTGTTACCTCTCTGGGTCCTCCTCCCCGTCAGTTGGTAATTAGTTGATGCAGCGAGGGCTCTGATGCACATAAATAATCCTAAGATGCCAGATAAACTGTATTGGTTTTAAATTAGAGCCGCGCCTACCGTGTCTCCCTATGAACAGCAGCCTATTATTTTTAATTATGGCTTGCAAAGCAAAGTGATTTCTTGCCCTCTTTACGGCGTCTGTGACAGTGTTCTGTCAGTCAGGATGATGTGAGGCCCATCCTTGCACACAGCCCTGGCCACAGCCCCAGTGAGACTCAAAAGCTGAACCCAAAGTGATCAGTGGGACTCTGCAACTTGCATTTTGAAGTGGGCTAGGAGGACATGTACTCCCTTAAGCCATGGTCCCACTGCAAATTGGGGCAAATAGGACATTTAGAAAAAAGTTTTCATGGATCTGGATGCACTCCTAAATGCATCATGGCTCTGAGATGTGTTTGCATGGGGGAGTATGTGTGTGTGTTAAATGCTGTGACACAGCATTGCAAACCTTTCCCTTCTCAGGCCCAGGGGCAGGCAATCCAAGAAAGGTCTGGCCCCAGCCCCACTGGAAGGTTCTACCTGACGGACCATAATTGAGGGTGGTTGCTTTAATTCAGACAGAAGGTTCTACAAACATCTTGGTGTCAAATTATATTCCACAGGAAGAAGTCCAGGGCGAGCGAGGGCCAACTTGCTCCTGTGGGTTCTGAAGGATACCATCTTTCTTTTTTTCTTTTTGTGGAAGAGGCAGCTGCCGTGGTTTATTGATAGGCGTATTTACATTCGAAGCCCTTTCCGATATGAGGTGTCAGAAGTCACTAAGCTTTACAAGTGCAGCTTTTTCCAGGATGGTCAGGTCATCACTGTTTACAGCCCTGTGCTTTGAGCTCAGTCGCCGTGGCCACACCAAGATGCAGTGGCAGCTGAGCTGGGTGGGGAGGCCTGCTCATTCCCAGGCAGTCAAGTAAGTCACTATGATGGTTCATCACCCCTGTGCTTAATTTTCTCTTTGTCTTTTTTTGTTTGATTTCCAGCAACAAGGAGCAGCCACCACCGTCTACTGCGCTGCTGCCCCGGAACTCGAGGGTCTGGGGGGCATGTATTTCAACAACTGCTGCCGCTGCCTGCCCTCGCCGGAGGCTCAGAGTGAAGACACGGCCCGCGCCCTGTGGGTCCTCAGTGAGAGGCTGATCCAAGAGCGACTCGGCAGCCAGTCGGGCTGAGCCGGGGAGCTGTGAGGAGGGGCGTGTGCTCTACCACTGCCAGCGTTGGCCCCCTTCCAAGTTCATTATCCAGGGGGTTTCCATGTCCCTCCAACACAGACCCGCAAGAGTAAAGGAAACGAGAGCAGTCACAACAGAGAAAAATGTTAAGTACCCATGGGAAGCAGGGGATTGATTGCAGGGGTGAAGGGACAACTGTCACTTTTCCGGGGCTGGGTGAGGCCGAGGGCCCTCTGCTTTCTGGTGATGGCCTGCTTGAAAGTGACAGCTTGCTTGGTCTGTGGGTCCCCTCTCTCCCTGTAGAAGCACAAGCAATTCTCTCTCAACTGTTTAGAATAGCCCCACGTCCCCTTGCCCTACCCAGCCGCTGCCACTGACCACTGTAGCCTGGGGCGGCCTTTAGGGAGGAAAGAACAGTGCTCCTCCGTCCTTGCAGCATTGATCCAGGAGATAATTGTTCCATTCATCCTGACCAAGGCTGAACTGTCTTGGCAAGTATGGGGAGAGAAATCCCTTGTCCCAGGCCCGCCGGTGTGACATTCAGAGGTGGAGTGAAGTAGGCAGAGGGCTGGTCAGAAACTCCGTTGCCAAAGTTGTACCCAAATTTCTTTTGAGATTAAAACAAATTCTTCAGATCATTCCCAAGATACCTTTGACAGGCAGGAGAGGAAGCATTCGTCCTTAAGAACACACAGGATGTGGGGGGAGCGTGGAGAGAGTCGTTCCCTTTCTCCTGTGTCAGCCTTCTGCCAATATATCCCTCTCAGCCTATGCTTAATAAAAAAAAAAACATGCTTGAAGATGCTCACCTGAAGTTTGTACTGTTTCTTTAAATGTTCATTTCAGTTTTTTTGTTTTTGTTATTATATTTTTTTAGAAAAGAAATCTAGAGGAAAAATAAAGCGCTTCTTGTAGACGCCAGGAAAACACCATTCTTGTTTCTTCTCTGAGTATCTGTTTTGTTTTTGTGCTTTGTGGCTGTCTGTGGGCCAAGTTGTCTCACGCAATTAGCATGCCAGCGTCATATTTTTCTGTGAAGGAAAGAAAGAAAAGAGAAATGACTATTGTTTAAATCTCACCTGACGGTGTGTTGTTATCACTGACACTGGGTACTCCTTGACACCCGGCCCTTTTCACTCACAGCATGGCTTCCAGCCCTGTCCCGACAAGGACATGAGAAAGTCCACCCTGTCAGGATGGAGAGAATGCTCCTGCTCAAATTCCAGGAAAGTGGAGAGGGCATGTGTGTCATTCCCCCTCTTCCAGGTAATGGCAGCTTCAGGCCAGGTAACATCATGCATCTTTGGGTACAAACACTCGCCAGGGGCCAGCAACCTGGCCACACATCCTCCCATCTGGCTGTCTCCTCCCTTACAAAATTGTTATGATCATAGGGCCTTTAAAACTATGAACCAGATAATACCACTTTTCTGGTCCAAACTCTTCACTCCTTCTAAGGTGGATCGTTTGCAAAAGCAGTCATCAGGATTTTCCTGTGTGTATGTATACCTTGGGTGGCCCTGCCCACGCTGACTGACCCCGGCCATGTGACTATCTTTGGCCAATTGGAAAAGTACTCCCACCCTGGGGCTTGCCCTTCCCTGTTGCTCTTTGGAATCCTGCAACCTCCATCATAGGGATGAGCCTGGACTGGCCTGCTGAAGGATGAGGGGGCAAAGCCACTGCCCAAACTGTCCTCAGCCTAACCGACAGACAAAAGTGAGGTCATCCACATTACCAGCCCCAGCAGAGCCAACCCAGGTAAGAAGAACCTCAGAGAGGTTCAACCCCCAGAACTGCAATAATAATAACAATAATAATAATGGTAATTTTGTTATTTTTAGCCACTGGTTCAGGATTACTCATTACGCAGCAAAAGCTAACTGATAAAGTTTCCCATCTCACTGAATCAAGTCCAGATTTTTCTGACATAGTCCTCTCATCATCTGCTCTCCAGCTAACTCTCCGATCTCACGTTACAGCACCTTCTCATCTTCTAGAAGCCATTTTAGACTTCCTTTGTTCCTTAAACATGTCACACACACTCCCAACTCAAGGTCTCTTTCATTGCTTTCCCTTGTGCTGAAATACTTTGCTCGCAGAGGCCGACCTGCCTTTTTTTCTCACTACTTTCTGTTCTCTGCTCAGATGTTACCTCTTTCTGACATCCACGGTGTCCATCCATCCCTCTCTCTTCCTGTACCCTCTATTTTTCTCCTCAACATTTAATCCCACCGGACACATTATATCTCTTTACTTAGCTTTTCTCTCCATTCCTATAACATAAACCCCATGAAATCTGCCTATTTTCTGACCAACTTGGCCATGATGCCTTGAACCCTGTCACATAGCAGGCTTAATGAATAACCATTGAAAAAAAGAATGTCCTTATGTTCCTGAAAATAATTTCCTGTCCTTGTGAGAAGGATCTCAAGCTGCACACTGTGCTAAGCAAGCGACAACATTATGTCTGATGTGTAATGTGACCACAAGCCCACCTGCCAGTCTGCCCCTTCTCCTGTTTTATGGATGAAGAAATAGAAACCAAGAGATCTCATAGTTTGCTCTTGTCTATACAACTCCTAAGTTAGTAGAGCTGTGACTCATGCCAGGTCTGTTTGATTTCAAGGTCACACAGCATCCTTACACCAATGCCACCACTCCTTTGATAAGTAGAAAATACAATATCTGATAGGACGTACCACCTGCAGCTGAGCAGAGAGGTGGCTTTATGTGTTTGACTCTGGGGGAGCTTTAAGTAGTTGGTGAAAGTGGAAGTTATGCTAGCACAAAGACGACAGCGGAGTCTCATCAGCCACGGTGGTGTCCAAAATACCACTGAGAACCTGGCAGCCACCTCCTTGCACTGTCTTGGACCTCTGTGGATCCTGTGTCAGGCTAGTCAGTGAGGCTGGGGGAACTTTGCAAGGGGAGATGAGGATTCTGCCAAGTCAAGGAACTCCCTAAGTCATATAGACCAAGTCTTTAGACATTCATTCAACAAATATACCAACTGTCATATTCTAGAAATCCAAAGTTAAAGTAAACCCCTCCCCAGTCTCTGCTACATGGGAATTTTCGTGTTGAGTCTATAGGAGTCTTCACAATGTACAGGTACTAACCAACTTTATCAAAAGTTCTCCAGGTGACAGGAAGATGAACTAAGGCCCCAGAACAATAGCTCCCCACAGTCAGATGCTGCTGACTACTGTGGACCATTTTCCCATCCCACACGCATTAATCCCTTTGGCCAATTCTGTGGAAGATTCCTAGACAGATGATCAAATGGCAAAATTCCTATAATTCCTATTTTAGCTTATCTAAGGCCGGGGTTATTTCTCACCATCTTTCATGATACATACCATCTCTATATGTAAATAGACATGCCTGTACACACATGTATCAGGTATGGATAACACACCACACAGGTATGTACAATAGACACACTTGTCCATGCACAAACACACGGATATATATACATAGTCCCTAACTTATTATGTCTGACTTATGATTTTACAAGTTTACAAGGGTGGGGTGGTACCTGTAGCTCAAGGAGTAGGGCACCGGCCCCACTCTCAGAGGTGGTGGGTTCAAACCCAGCCCTGGCCAGAAAACCCTGCAACAAATTTACAAGGATGAGAAAGGGATGCACATTCAGTAGAAACTGTACTTCAAGTACGGATACAACCACTGTTCCCCAGTTTCAGTATAGTATTCAATAGCTTAGGAGATATTCAGCACTTAATTATTTCAAAAAGTGTGTATTAAATGGTTTTGCCCAACCATATGCTACCATAAGCATTCTCAGCATGTTTAAGGTAGGCTAGGCTAAGCTATGCTATTCAGTAGGTCAGAAGTATCAGATGCTTTTTTAACTCAATAGTATTTTCAATGTGCAACAGATGTATCAGGATGTAAGCCCATCGTTAAGTCCAGGAGCATCTGGGTATGTACGGGTGTGCATCTGCAGCCCATACTCGCGTGTAATGATGATCCTACTCTGTCCTCACCATTGCTACTGACACAGCAGATACCATTAACTGGGCAGCTACCCTGTGCCAGTGAATGGTTTAGGAAGATTACACACTCATTTTTATCTCGTGCTCATGTGCTCTAGCCTCAGCTGGCACACGGCAGAGCCAACACGTAAAGCCATCCCACTCACTTCCACATGCCTCCCACGATACCCCACCCCTCTGGAGATAGCCGATAGACCAGCCATCTATATACATTAAATGTATTCCGTGAGTGAAGGAAGACCAGCAGGTTTCCTACCTAAGAGTGGGGTCTGGCTTTCCTCTTGCTGTCCAGATGCCTGGTGTAAACTGTGCAGATCATTTTTGTACGTGCCGTTTATCCAGCGAGCCTGGCTGGGCCCCACCAACGTTTCCCAACAGACCCCTCTCCTGTTCTGTGTGTCACTAGGTCTGTGCCTGGCCTTGTTTCTCTGGGCTTCTTATGGACTCAGTGTCCAGAGCTCTCCATCCTTGCCCAGTGCTACAGAATCCACCCAGGCAGCAGGAGTGAGAGTTTCTCTGGAGTCCTTTTCTCCCGAGGGCATTCCCCGAGTTTCTTTAAATCCAAAGGCAGCCAGTTTCCCCTTCATGCTGGATTAACGAAGACCTTACTGCAACTTATCAATAGGAAACAAGAAATTGAAGCATCCCTCAGCAATGACTGAAGCCTGTGGCTTGTGGTTTTGCTCTTTAAAATGGGGTTATGAGTGGTTTTGTTTTGAACTTCAATGAAGGAGGCCTGATTACTTTCATCAAGGTCAATGCTAGGCCAGAAAGACTTGGCTTGCAATATCGCTGCCCATTCTGGCCACCAGCAGGTACCATTTTTAGATATTTATGTGAAGAAAAAAAAAAACCCCATCTAAAACAGCAATACTTGCCCTGCACATTAACTCTTCGTGCTTCTCGACACATCCAAATTAGTTTGGTTGAAGTCATTTAATGTGATGAAATATCATCCACGTAATCATTGAAAAAAGTGCTCTGAATTGCATCCACTGATGAAATGATATAGCAACAATAAAGGACATTTTTAGAAAGAAAAATAAAAAGACTTACAATACCACTATGTGAATAAGGCCATTATCATCTTTTGTTATTAACTTTCCAGTCTTTATGGCATTTGGTTTTATCCCCCCCCCAACACCCCTTATTTCTCAGTTTTCAGTCCTTTTAGTGGATGTCAGTGATTGGAGCAGCGTTTGAAAGCCCACCCCCCATTGCAGGTTATCCTTTAAGTTCTCCTCCTGCGTGAGTCTGTTTGTCTACATGCTTAGCAACACTGAGTGTTGCCACTGCAACTTTTTAAAAAACTTATCTTAACATCTTATTTTCCCAACGGGTAACTACTTATATTCCCAAGCAGCTAGCCTCCTTATTTAAAGTATACGCATTTTGTCTTTCATTATCCCTCAGGACAGAGTTCACAATTTTAATTAGAGTGGAAATTCAGAGTGAGTCTGTATTCGGTTTGGGTAAGAAAAAAAAAAATCAGTTCAGCCAAGCCTCTTCATCTTTTGGTTCTCATCATTTCACCCGTGAACGTCCTGCCTTTTGTCCCTTTAAATCATCACTTGTCGCACTCCACGGACCCCATCTCAACACAGCACGGAGACCAAAACTAACACCGCAAAGCCTCCTGGGTTCAGGCCGGCTGATAAATTTACCCCACGAGCTGCGATCCCCCCACGGTCCTTAGCTGGCTGCTGCTTCCTGGCTGACGCGTCATCTGCTTTTATGAAAACGTGCCACACCACTCAGAAAGATTGTCTTGCATTCTAAGCTGCTCT